CCCCCCCCCCCCCCCCCCCCCCCCCCCCCTCACCTTAAAGGCCTTGAAATCCCCCTTGAAGATGTCCTCGAGAAGCCGCTTCAGGGAGTTCTGGTCCGGCCGCTTGGACTTGTCGTCGCAGAAGGCGCCGAAGACTAGCTCTAGGAAGACATAGCCGAGGGAGTAGAGGTCCTCCCGGAAGAGGAAGTCGGACACTGCCAACGGTGACGTTGCCCCCGCGGAGCTGGCCCTTTTTTCGTTTGACGTCAAACGAGGCGGCGTAGGGCCCCCCCGGCAAGTAAATATGGACGAGGTTCGAAAAATCAACAAAGTCTCAAAAATCACACAAGAATCAATCGTAAGGGTCTTGAATCAGTAAACGTTGACAAAGTTCGAAAAATCAAAGCCTCAAAAATCACACAAGAATCAACCGTAGGGTCTTAAATCAGTACATGTTGACGAAGCTCGAAAAATCAACATCGAGAAAATCACACATCAATAGAAGCTGATGCTGGCTCCGACAAAAGAGGTCAGCTCACCTTCGGATGGTTTCGTCATCGATCTCCGACAGTCGAGTAGCAAACCCAAAGTCTGACAGCAGGACTTCCAGCTGCCTTGGATATCGCTCGTCTGAGGTTAAGTACGGGGGCGGGCGGAGGGTCGTTTGTCGGCTAGTGGAAAGAGGACGGGGTTCCAGATATACCGTAGGTTGCATAAGATATCATACCCCCTGGACCGATTTTCAGATCTCGATTACTCGGCAGGGAAAACAGCAACGATGCCGAAAAATGGCGGCGTTAGAAACGTTTCGTCGAGAGCTAACCAAAAACGCACCAATTGATTTCGGCATCCTCTTCGTCGTGGAGTAGTCAGGCTTTGAAAATCGGTCTAGGGGATGTGGTATCTTATGCAACCTACGGTACATGGAGGCGCTTTCTCGCCCCGCTGAGACTTCAAAAAAAAGTCTCCTCATTGGTTGGACGATTAAATATCTGGCCGATCGATCGTTGCTGTTACGGCAGACAAAAGCGAGCACATACAGGCTTATACCGACGGCAAGGGGGAGCGGAGGAATTGTCAACCCCAGGCCACATCTGTGGAGGTCAGGATATGGAGATTCAGGGAGCACAGATACACGTACATAAAGAGTAGGATCTGAGAGGATATGTGATAATAGATTACCGTTCTTCGAGGGTCTATGACTCTTACGATTCCCAACGGCTGCGAAGAGTTGATGAATCTTTAGGAGAATGGGAAAAGGGTCCACGAAGGCTCGCCCACTCTCCTCACCACCCTGGCTTGACTGAGTTCGCTCGGTCACGCTTGGCATTCCTCGCCATATTGCGCCAAAGGAAATAGCCAACCTCCGGTGGCAGGACATAGCCACCACACTCCCGGACTCTCTGCTCAGCCAGAGTAGAGGGCTTCCATATTGGCGTTCGACGAAGCGTTCTATCTTTACAACCCACGTGTGAAACATGGGCTCCAAAGGAGGAGGAAAGAAAAAGGACGGAGGGTCGCAACAACAGCAGCAACAGCTGAAAAAGCAAAAGCCGCTGATGACCAAACAGCAGACGAAGCCGCGCCCCGACGCTGCTGCGCCTAACCACCAAGGCTCGGCTAAGCCCCAAGAGGGACAGTCGACGCCATCCCAAGCTGGGGACACCGCTGGTGCGGCTGCGAGCGTAGCACCCTCGCAGACCGGTAACCGTGGCGGGTACTTCCAAGCTTTGGTGGGTGGAAGTCGTGACGACAGCGACAACAACAGCAGCGCTGGCGATGGCGCCGAAGCTGTCACCACCCGACACCGCGACACCGACCCGAACTCCGACGACAATGATGACGACAGCGAAGAAGGCGCCGTTGGCGACGACGACGTTGACGACGACCTCGCGCACGACATCCTGCGGAACCGCGCAAGCGCCGCAAGCCAGCAGAGCGGTTCGCTCCTGGCAAGCGGCGGGTCGCTGGAAGCCGTTCTCGTTGGAGCGGTCACGAAGGCCGTGGAAGCGGAAAAGACCCCCACCGGCATGGGTTCTCAACATGCTCATGCCAGGAGCCGTCCACCAGCATGATATCCAGCAGGTGAATCCGCGTTCGCTTGCCTCCGATCTAGATGCAGAAAATCGTTCTGGTATGCGCACGACAGTAAGTGTTCAACAGACCCCTGCTCAGAATATGAATGTGTCTACACCGACAAATTCATCTATTAACCCGGTACACCAAAACACGGTAAACCAGGCCTCACCGAACCAGGTAAACCAGCAGACGGTAAACCAGGACACCCCTACCCCGGTAACCCAAACCACGGTCAACCAGGAAGTGATTAGCACGGCACGGTTCACTTTGAAAGCCAATGACCTACCTCCTGATCTCAAGCTCGAGGGTTTGCCTCATGAAGATGTTCCGGAAAAAATGGCACTTTACAGGGCACACATCGGTCTATTGTCAGCCGACAACGTCTCTCAAAGTACAATCGATCACCGCGCAATCAAACATCTCGCGCTATTCGTGCGAGGTGCAGCAGCTCAAAGCCTCAGCCTCATGCTTAGCTCATCTCTCGAATGGCGACCGCCAGCTCAGCTAAATGCGTTGCGTGCACGTGGAGAAGTGGTCCGCATCACACCTCCGAAAACATGGAAGGAGTGGGTCACGGCTTTCACCACATCGTTCGCTCCCGCCAACCGAATTGCTCTTCTTGCGCGTGATGTCATGACATTGGAAGCAAAAAGTAGCGAATCAGTTGACGTGTTCGCGCTCCGAGTATCACGCGCGTATGCCAGACTTCTAGCCGAAGCCGAACGCACAGCTCCGCTGAATGTACCACCTCATGAACACGCATTCAACCAAGCTCTCACCGCCTCTTTTGAAAACGGTGTACACCCACACATCCGCGTAGAGATGATGCGGGCAGATCCATCCGATTCTTTCATGGAATCTAAAGCGCGTGCTCGTCGACACGAGTCCAACAAACTGCGCTCTCCCCCTGCCCCCATCTCGGCTACCGCTTCCACCGTGTACGGTTCGGCTCGTTCCGGGCAGCTCCAAACGACTGCACAGGATAATCGCGACCGTATTTCTGCTCTAGAAAATTATATTTCCGGGCAGGAGGCATTCGTGTCCAGTGGTGGAGCGTACAGCACGCAACGCGGTGGGCGTCCTCAGCGGGGGACCGACAAAAGGGATCGAGACAACTCCAAATCCCGGGGGCCCCCTGCGAGGGCGAAAGCGAAAGTATCGTTTGCTGGGACTACCAAGTCCGACACTGACAACACTCGCAAAGAGTGTGACTTTATTGGCTGCCGATTCAGTAGCATTCGCTTCACGCACACCCGTGCCGAGTGTAAAAATGAAGAAGCAGCGAAAAAAGAGGGGTACAAAGTTACCAAAGACTAGGGTCGCCCGAGTAGGCAGCGTCCTTCGGCCAACGTGGGACACCAATCATTTGGTTCTGTCAAACCAGTAAGTGCAAACTGGGATAGACTGCAAAGTTCGAGCAAGCAGAAGAGAGCCAAAGTAGATGAGAGGGATTCAAAACACTGTAAAAATGGTGTACGATCTCTGGTGGGAAAAAAGAAGAAAGCAATCAGAGAGCAACGCTGTAGCAAGACAGTTGAAGTACATGTAACACGAGAATATTCTCGCGAAGGTTGTAGCAACAAGCAGACGCGAGGGGTTCCGAAGTCAAGTACCAGCACAGCTGATGCAGTAGCCTCTGTAGCTCCAGCACTAAGGGATAGCACCCAAGTAGGGCAAGTAGCCGCCTGTTTAGCGCCGCAAGCCTTGCACGTAGCTACCGTAGCTGGGGACTTCAGGTCGAAACATAGGTCCAACCTAATGAGAACTGACCGTAATGAAGAATTTCAAGCTTTTTACATGTCGGCACTCGCTGGATATCCCGTGTGTCCATCGGTATTGCGATCGACATCCAAGCGAGTACGCGTACCCGCCAGAATAAATAATGAATCGGTTGATGAAATAACAATCGACACGGCGTGTGACATACCATGCATATCACGGAAGTTCATGAGAAGTCACAAAACGTTAAAAAACACGGAAATATTTCCGGTACCCCCTGGAGCAATCAATCTGCGAAGCGCTGATGGTTCGCCCCTAAAAATTGCAGGGTACACTCGATTTGAACTGACACTAGGCGAAATCACATTACCTGTTGAAGCTCTAGTGCTGCCGTCGTTGGGACCAGATAATATGCTACTCGACAATAGCATAATGGGCGCATTTGGTGGTGTTCTTGACTGGCAAGCGGAAGAACTGTCGTTTAAAACAGCAGCAACCAAAATTCCAGCTGTCCACCGCAAAACGCGCTATCCCACGACTGATCAGGGAAACAGTTTGAACTGTTCTGTGGTAGCAGTAGAGAGGGACACGCCTGTGATGCCTGTATACACTACACGGAAATGCAGCATACCTGCACAACATGAGATAGCTGTTGAAATTCATTCGCTTGAGGCACCAGATGAAACCACAGCTGCCGCAGTTGAACCGCGCATCGTTACGTCCGATGACGTGGGCAAGCAGGATACACCAGATGCATTCCGCAGAGTGATAGTGGCACGCACGGTCTGTCACTGGTATCAGCACAACAAAAGTGCAATGGTCCAACTGGCCAACCCTTCTCACAGACCGGTATCCTTAAAGAGGAATACGCTCATAGGCTATATTTCTCCAGTGAAAACAGTACTGCCGCAAACAATGAGCAGCGTTCAATCGAGTCCTGCAGAAACGGAAAAAATTCGTGCAGATCTCACAAAAGCATTAGCCAAAGCTTTCCGAGATACAACTTTTTCGCCCGACCAGTGTGAAGAAATGCTTAAACTGTGTACCAAATACCGTTCAGTGTTCTCCCTGAGTCCTAAAGAACTGGGCAGATGTACTCTTACAGAGGCTGATTTTCCATTACAACCGGGGACAAAACCAGTCAACCGAGCTCCATATCGTGCTAATCCACGAATGCAAGAGGTCATTGACAAATGTGTTGGTGAAATGGAAGAAGCCGGGATAATCGAACAAAGAGCGAGCCCATGGGGGTCAGCAGTAACGTTGGTAGCAAAAGCTGACGGCAGTCCCCGATTCTGTGTAGACTACAGAGCGACGATCAACAAGAATTTAATTCGTAAATCGTGGCCAATGCCTGAAATGGCAAGTCATATCGACACCGTAGCAGGTGCTAAATACATCACAGTCTGCGATGTACAAAGTGCATACCACCAAATACCAATTGCCGAAGCAGAACAAGACAAGACTGCATTCGTTACTCGGGATGGAAAATGGGTTTTCAAACGACTCCCCTTTGGCATCGCCAATGCGCCTTTTCTGTTTCAACGTACGATGGCATTGACTTTCGCACATTTTGGTCCAAAGTCTGGTCTTCTTGTGTACATGGATGATCTTATTTGTTGTTCATCTACATGGGAGGGTCATATCTCTCTTTTGGAAAATACCTTCCAAGCGCTACAAGCCGCAGGTCTTACATTAAAACCATCAAAGGTACAATTTGGGCCAAAGGAAGTGAAGTATTTGGGGCATGTTCTTTCCGCAGATGGCATACGATTAGGTGACGATCGAATAAAATCGATACTAGAGTTGCCAACGCCAACGAACATCAAAAGTTTGCGATCAGTCTTAGGAACGGTCAACTATGTCAGGAAATTCATCCCAGACTTAGCCGCCGTTACCGCACCAATGGTTGACCTTACGAAGAAAGACGCAGTGAAGTCGGTAGCGAAACGCTGGGGTCCGAAACATGATGAAGCATTTGCTGAAGTGAAACGATTACTCACCAACGCCCCTGTTTTGCATTTTCCGGACTTTTCTAAGGAGTTTGTTATTCATGTCGACGCATCTGAAGTGGGAGCAGGAGCATTCCTGGCACAACAGAATGGCGATGACGTGAATATCATAGCATACTTTAGCCAGCGATTCAACAAAAGCCAACAACACTACTCTGCCACCATGAAAGAATGCTACGCTGTTGTTCTAGCAATTCAACACTGGCGTCCTTATTTATGGGGTAGACATTTTACGTGCGTGACTGATCATGCGGCATTGCGATATCTTTACACGATGCAAGACACGTCAAATATGCTCACCAGATGGGCAATAGCACTGCAATCCTTCGATTTCACGGTAAAACATAAACCGGGAAAGTTGCATGTAGTGCCGGATACGTTATCGCGACTTTTCGTGTTTGAAAATGAACAAGAACGAACTGCGCCGAATCTTGCACCGATTTGCCGAAATGTACCGGACGACCCAAAGCTGCAACAACACATGCCAAACAGACCATACCAAGTCTCGATTGACAAATTGGACGATGTGCAACCAGTCCTTAGTGATAGGGAACTGTTCACAGTCAATTCAAATTTCGTCAGCGCCATGAAAGTATTTGAATCTGTTGATCATGAGAAATTGCGCGAGAAACAAGCCGAAGAATACGGCGAATATGTCCAATACATTTTAGACGCCAAAGCACCGCTACCGGACAACGAAACGGCAACATCAATGTCGTACTATTCCATACAAGACGGTTTACTGTTTAAATCGTATCTGCCAGGACACCTACGAAAACGAAGCACTTTTAGTGATCAACTTGTAGTCCCACATGACCTCACAGGTTTAGTGATGCACGCATACCATGATCACGCTCTTTCGGGTGGACATCTTGCATTTCGTCCAACGTACGAAAAAATACGACAAAAATATTGGTGGCAGTCAATGAACCGTGACATACGGACTTGGTGCCTAGAATGCCAGGCCTGTCAACGGAGAAAGACACCCCACCGCCGTCCGAAACTGCCGACAGGTCATGTACCTGTACAGCGGCCATTTGAAAGAGTATCAGTCGACCTAGTCGAGTACAAATCGCTCTCAACATCAGCAGTCGGAATGAGATGTAAATACGTGCTTTCCATGATGGATCACTTAACGCGTTATGCAATTCTCACACCAGTTCCGAACAAAACTGCTGAAACCGTAGCACATGTAATCATTGATCGGATTATCAGTATTTTTGGCCCGCCAGAAATGCTACATTCTGATCAAGGGACTGAAATTGAAAACAAGATCATCTATCAGTTAGTTGCAAACAATCTTGGGCTACAAGAAAACACGCACGACGCCGTATCGTCCGCAAGGTAATTCGGTCTCTGAGCGTGTGCATTCCACGATGCATTCCATGCTCGCAATGCATAGTTCCATGGATCGTGACAACTGGGCGGAACTCTTGCCAATGGTTCAACTAGCGTATAATACGTCGTTTAATAAAACCATGCATGAGACACCGTACTTCTTGATGTTTGGTCGCCAAGCACGGTTACCGGTAGATGTAATTCTCGGAATCCCACATGTAGGTTCAACTGCAGATACCGAGAGTTTTGCTCAAAACACACGAGAAAATCTACAAATTGCTTTCGAACTAGCGCGAAGAAACCTAACGGAACGTGCAGAGAAGCAAGCTGCAAAAAACGAAAAGTTACCGCAGTACCCCGTCTTTAAACCTGGTCAACAAGTACTAGTATACCGACCACACCAGGATTCAGATGGGCCAAATCCGAAGCTGTTCTTACCGTGGCGAGGACCGTATGTCATCTGTTCACAACTGTCACCGGTTGTGTATAGGGTGCAGCGAGTAAATGAAACACGAGAAATATCCGTGCACCTTGCCCATCTAAAACAGTACCATGAAAAGGAAAAACCACCAGCACCACAGTTTGAAAAACTGGCTGAATATTTCCTTGGGAAACAAATTCCCTTACCTGCCCTGACAGCAAACGACGAAAATCAACCGAAAATTGAAAGATACGTCGTACTGAAAGTGGTAGGGCATCGAAGTGGTCAAGGCCGAAGAGGTCCGCACAACTATCGATATCGTCTAAGACTGAAAGGATACGGTCCTGAATCAGATCTGATGTATCGTGCCGACGAAGTGCCGCAATGCCACGAAATGATTTCCGCATACCGATCAAAACATGATCTGGACATCGCGCCCGCCAAGAAATCGTCTGAAGCGCCGCAGAAAATAGCGAAGCGCAAACGTGACGAAGGTAGGGATCCGAGTACAAACAAACGCGCAAGGCACAAAGCAAAGCCAACCAAGGCATGTACTAAGCCAACAAAATGCGTGAACAAGGAAAGTGCTCAGCGGAAAAGTAAACGAAGTCCGAAGGCAAACAAAAGATACATTTCCAAAGTGTCTAAACGGTGAAAGGAATAGCATCCAAACAATAAGGTTGCTATCCAGCATTTGATTGGGTCAAATGCTGGCGAGGAAATGTCAAGTTAACCGGTCTCTAGTGAAATTGAGGGTCGCAACTCGATGACACTACGTGAGTCACGGAAACAGTCTTTAGACTGTCGAACACCGTATGCCTATCGTACTCAAGAAGCAAAACGATTGCTTACACCCAGCGGTATGGTTACGCGAACCAGAACCCGCACAAAGTACAAATTCTTGATGCTTAACAAGAATAAACTTTGACATATCATCATTGATTGACATCAATAACTGGTAGCTTGTACGAGCCTTGGAGAGATTAAATCCGTACGGTGTTGCTTTCAACACGTGTGTTTTCCACACGGCACTGTCAGCTGTCTTCGGATAGTGAGGGAGAGATTTAATTTTCGAAAAGCTGTATCTGGATCCAATGATACATCCATACCTGCTCCACTACAATTAACATGCAAACATGCATGCGCGCCAAAACCCAACTTCAACAAGCTGAGCTTTCGGCGAAGAAAAAGGGGGGCTATGTGGAGGTCAGGATATGGAGATTCAGGGAGCACAGATACACGTACATAAAGAGTAGGATCTGAGAGGATATGTGATAATAGATTACCGTTCTTCGAGGGTCTATGACTCTTACGATTCCCAACGGCTGCGAAGAGTTGATGAATCTTTAGGAGAATGGGAAAAGGGTCCACGAAGGCTCGCCCACTCTCCTCACCACCCTGGCTTGACTGAGTTCGCTCGGTCACGCTTGGCATTCCTCGCCATATTGCGCCAAAGGAAATAGCCAACCTCCGGTGGCAGGACATAGCCACCACACTCCCGGACTCTCTGCTCAGCCAGAGTAGAGGGCTTCCATACATCGGATAATTAAATTTACTTGCTGTTGATCGGCTGTTTTGTGCCATTGTATACCGTACTGTGTCCGTGCGTCGGTGTTGGAAGACTTGTGGTTCGCCTGACGGACGGCCATTGTTTGTTGCAGCTAGCTGGTAGCGTTCCTGTCCTTAGCCACCCAACAACTTACCGAGGGTGTTAACTCGGAGGCTTGATGCTCCCAAGGACCGGTGCACGACCCCCGACTCGTGCATGAAAGCCAGGGCGTTGGCCGCACCTCTCATCATCTCCTTCACGAAGGTAGCCCTTCGCTTCGTCCTGGAAGTGGGGTTGAACGCGTCGAAAAACTGGGGGTGGGGGAGGGGGGGGGGGTACCTACGTGGTGATGCGTTTGGGGGGGCGGGCGAGGTCGTTGCAATGTTCCTTCTGGTGCGGGTACAAGGTAAGCGCGGCGATATTTCGTTTTCGTTTATAAGTGTGACGCTTCAAGCGGGAATACAAAAACGAAGTACGTATGCCGCGACAAAGCACTCCACAAGGGTATCGTCAAATCGAACATGCTAAGTCGAGACATGCTAAGACGAGACATGCGCCACTCTTCAAGTGGGACTAAACGCAGCATACACCGCGACACACCGCTCCACAAAGACAGGCGATGTCAACCACTACAATGTTGGGGTGCCCGTTCCGTCTCAGGTATCAACGAGCAACAACAGCCGGGGCCCGTAGTATATTGCCACTCCGTACAACACCTAGCACCATTCTCCTTCCTTACGCTATCTCTCTCTCTCTCTCTCTCTCTCTCTCTCTCTCTCTCTCTCTCTCTCTACCGCCGACCAACCCTTCCGCTGTCTCAACACACCTCCGACTCCTGCTTGGCAGGGGGAAAGCTGGCGAACGTGTACAGCCCCTCCCACCGGTACACCAGCCAGACGCTCCCAATCGCCGGCACCGGCAGCGACGGAAACCTGCAAAAAAAAAAAAAAAGTAAAGAAACACGCAACGAGACAAAACACGCCACTCACGAGTAGTCACACGGGTGCTTTCCTTTCTCGACCATGTAACCCATGGTTCATAGTGCCCTTGGCGAATAGCATTGGGGGTGGGAATACAACAATTTACAGCAGTACTGGTAGCTGTTTTTTTTTTTTTTTTCCCGCCTCCAGTTAGAGCCAGCACTTGCTACCAACTTGTCAGTCGAAAAACTGATGTCGCCTCAAAAAAAAAAAATACAAGAGTTTGAGCACCATAAATACAAGAGTTTGAGCACCATTGTGAGCCCGGATAATAACCCACACACCAAAACCTATACAAAGGCCATTTGCAGCATGACCCTAGGAATACAGTAACAACCCCAGCCTCGACCAAAGCCAGAGCTTCCAAAGCGAGGGCGCTCACTGCTGCATTCAAGGGCCACACACGGCAGGCCTCTACCGCGCGCGCCGCCGTACACGCCGTACACGCCGGAGACTCGACTCACTTGGAGACCCACTGCTCCAGGAACCGCCTGCTCTTGAAGGACTCATCGGCGACAAGGCTCCCCATCAGGGCGAGCACTGGGGGGCGTCCGCCAGGGCCGTTCTTTTGGTCCCACGCGTCCTGCAGCCGGTCGTTGATCTTCCCCAAAGAGCGGCAGCGGTAGGGGCAGACGGGCGAAAGAGGAGAGCACTTTAACCGAGAGGCTGAGATTCTCGCAGCGGAAGGTGTGAGTTTAGGCGGCTCGTGTTCCGGGGCGACCGCAGCAGGAGAAATCGAACTTTGTATCATCCACATAGTGCTGGAGTCTCCTTCCGCATAAGCCGCACGCGTAAGCATGCCCTCTCCCGCGCCGGATTATCGCTTGTGGCGTAACTTTGAGCGCGACCTGTGCAACAACCAGCAGGTACATACCAAGGGCCGCCCAAACCTGCAAGAAACGAGTTGTGTGTTCCCCCCTCTCCGCTGACGCGCACGGGTAAATCAATGCTCCAAAGTCCTTCGCATACCTAGACACACTATCGTGAGACTACTATCCCTGCCGTCGGTCTATAGAGGCCGAAATCAAACCATTAGACTAGTCAGCGCTGACATGCCGGCGGAGACGGTACGAATACGTGGGAACCACCACATCCACATCCCTCCCCACCTCGATCTCCCTGTAGGCCAGCTTGAGACCCTTCGGCAGGAACTCCTTGAGGACTACCTTGGCGTTGCCGTAGGTCCTCGCCTCGAACAGCCTCACGGTCGTGCCCGAGGAGTTGAGGGTTCTCGAAGGCGTCGAAGGGTCCACCGGTGACGTCTGGCGGTTGTACTCCCTGGCACACGAAGGCGGGCGTGTGGGATATTGGTCAATATGGTATAAATAGTCACGTGTTCAGGTATGATAAGTCGCATGTTAGAAGACGGTCTGCGGAGACTCGGGGCTCCGTGGTATGGATAGGCGGCGGTGGGTTTGGGTGCTAAAAATTTGGGACCGCCTTCGCAGGAAATTCAGTATTACGAGGAAATAGAACAGGGAGGGGGTACGCGGACCCTATCATCCCTAACCCTAACCCTAACCCTAACCCAAGTTCCCCCGATTGTATGTTTATCCAACATGTTTTCCTGAACACAAAATTCCTGCGAAGGCATACTGTAAATTTGTGTAGGGAGCAGGGTTCGACGAGCCGTATCCGCTTCATCCCCGAGAAGGTATAAAAATGGATCGAGCCGTGCGCTGATATGACTGCATACTTCTAAAACCAAGCTTGCACCGTGCCACAATAGATAGCAGGACGGCTACACACAGCCTTTGTGACGCTATGAGCCTCCTATGCATATACCACCGAATATTTTTGTTGTGCTGGTGTCTTCGTGTCTTTCGCTTTGGTGCAGCGGGCGTGCGGCCGGATTTAAGTTGACAGTCCCGCCATCGTCCCCAACAAAACATGAAACTCGGTGATGATCGACAGCGACTGAGCAGAAGCACACACCCCACCCACTCACCAGTCGGTGATCTCCACGAACCCCAGCTCTCCGATAAACCTCTGGAGCTGGAGCTCGCTCGCTTCGAACGTGCGGAGGAGAGACATGCTTGTCGCCGGCCGTCTCCGCCCGCTGTTGGGTTGAACAACATGCTGCTGCTGTTCTGCTGCCCGTGATGCAGCAGCACCAGGAGGCCTCGGCGATCGCAACGACGAGGAACGCAGGGTCAATCCGACCTTGAACGCGACGGCATCTTTTCGCAACGCGATGGATGCTGCCAGGAGAGCCGCCAGCACGCGTACATGCAGCATCTCCTGGCTGGGTGTGCGTGTCCCCAGGCGTGTGCCGGAAAAAAATAGCACACGAGAGCGCTCGGGGGGGGATACGCAGAGCGGATGATATGGAAACAGCACCTTATGCTCCTTGTTCAAATGTGTGCCCTCTTGCTCGGCACCCAGTGCACCACCTGTCTGCTGTTTGGTGGTGGTGTTGACAGTCCGTCGTGATCGCACAGGAGGCACGCTCAGCACACCGACGCAGCCTCAATGAGCGGGTCGGCTTCGGAAGGGATGTGTCGCGTCCGACGCGTCCGGGCGGCCCCGGCGGCAGCTGAAGGCCGGCCCGAATTCGTCCTCGAGCCTTGCCCGTCTGCTGGCCGCGCCGCGAGCATGACAACGGAGACTCTCCCCGTGCCTCACGGAGACTCCGTGGTCGAGACGACTCCGCCCTCGGCGGGGGTTGTCAGTGTCGGGCTGGATGGCTCACAAGACTCGACATCGCAGGTGTGTGTTCATTGAGTGCGAGGAGGATGTTGAACGTAACGGCCGTTTTTCTGGTGGTGGGCCGCTGCACAGCAGACAGAGCCAACGCTTATCTAAATACCTTAGAGATTGCATAAGATACCACATCCCCTTGGACCGATTTTCAAATCTCGATTACTCCACGACGAAGAGCATGCTGAGTTCAAATGATACGTTTTCGGAAAGCTTTCGACGAGACGCTTCCAACACCGCCATTCTCGGCGCCGTCACTGTTTTTCCTGCCGGGAAATCGAGCCTTGCAAACCGGCGGAGGGGGTGTGATATCTTACGCAACCTACGTTAGCGATGGGAGTGCTGCAAAGCCTGCTGTCCTTCTCGGAGAGCAACCCATGATGGTGTGTACGACGCTGGTGGCGGTGATTAAAATGTGGTCTTCGGCACCGCTCGCATGGCGTTCGTGCATACCAAAGTGTTTTATGAACTGGAATGTTGTGCGTGGTGTATTTCGTATCACCGGATGATGATGGATATGAGCACGGGAGAAGACGGACGTGGTAATCTCATGGCGTTGCGCTATGAACATGGAGAAAACGGAAAATTGAAGAAGTCTGTGTAGTGCTGTGTACAGATCGGTCCTAGACTAGTAGTCGCCGGCGACAAGGCTGGACTGTCAGCCTCAGGTTGCGTTCTTTTTTTCTTCACAAGAAAAACAGGGTAGTAATGGCGGCAGGGGTACTACAGCAGTACTGCTGTACTGCTGTGGTAGACGCAGCAGGCCTGGAGGCCATGGTGGCAGCCCGCGATAGGGCGGTGGCGACTCGTAGGGTATTAGAAACGTTGACGAGGGGTGGTCGCGGCGCGGCTGGTATACCGCGTGAAGTGCCACCAGTAGCGCTGCAGGACCGCCCTGCAAGACACCCTTACATGTTGTGGTACCTACCCACCGCTTCTTTCTTACCTGCTGTGGGCCGCTTGGCAACACACACACACGCACACGACTTTTTCATCGGCCAGCCGGTTAGCGCAGTCGTGCCCACTAAGCCTACACGCACACACACACGCACATTTTCCTTTAGAAGCATCTTCTGTTTTCAACGCCGCTGTGACTGACGTCTCTTCATTGGCCAGCCGGTTGTGTAGCACTGCCATTTTTTTTTTTTTGTCTTCACTTCAAATCAGCGCTCACGGCATGTTGTGCCGTTTACTCCAACCCATATTGCTAACAATAAAAAAAAAAAACACACACACACACACACGCACAATATTTTCACAGGGAGGCGGCAGTTACGAGAAACAGGTCCTGCTGCAGACCACCAGCACGCCGAGAAACGCGGTCCTGCTCAAGGCCATCCGAGACGTCCGCATCTTCGGCCGGCGCCAGTCGCCGTCGTCCCCGTCGCCGTCACCGCGAAGAAAAGACTTCCGGCCTTCCCCCGCGGGGAAGAAGTCGGCGGCGGCGGCGGCGCGGGCTTCTCCTTCCCCCAAGGGGAAGCGGGTGGCTTCTCCGGCGGCAAAGGCGGCCGCCGCCGCTCGCGAGATGATCCGCAACGGCGGCGGCGGCGGGGCGACGAGGGTGACGGCGGAGGCCCAGAAGTACCTTCTCGTCGGCGACACCGTCGACCTCGGCGTCGCCGGCGCGGGCAGGGGCTTCCGGTGCGAGTACTCGTACACCCTGCGGCTCGCTTCTTCTTCTCGTTCTTCGGCCACGACGACGCCGCCGCGTTCTGGGACGCCAGCAGCAGCAGGTTCGAGAGAGTCGAAGCCATCCGCGACGAGAGAGCCGTCGTCGGGTGCGGGAGGTGGCGGCGGTGGCGGCACGAAACGCCGGCTGGAGGACTTTTTCGGCGACAGCACGCGGGCGGGGGTGGGAACGGCGGCTCGACCCTCGGTTCCGGTTAGAAGCAGCGGCGGCGGTAGCGGTAACGGTAGCGGAGGCGGTAGCGGCAGCGGCAGCGGTAGCGGTGGCGGTAGTGGCGGTGGTAGCGGCAGCGGCAGCGGCAGCGGCATCGGAGGAGGTTGCGAGGGTGTCCAGGTCGTGCCGTCAGAAATGTTCGCCATCGCAATACCGGACGACAACGACGATGGCCGCGATGAGAACGCGGCCGTGACAACAGCCGCGGCTCCGACAGCCACACCCAGCAACCCCGGCCGCGGGGAGGACAAGCGCCGCAGGACGGGAAGCATGCCCTTCGTCCCCTTCGGCGTGGTCGACCTCTGCGACTTGGACGACCAACCAGTGGACGCGGGAACGTCCGTCGAGCTGCCCATCGATCTCTGCGACGACGACAGCGACGACGAAGGGGAAAAGGGGGTCGCTACCCCTGCTGCTGCTGCTCCAGCTGCTGCCCCCGGTGGTGGTGGTGGTGGTGGTGGTGGTGGTGGTGGTGGTGCTGCTGCTGCTTCCTGCGAAGCTCGAGCGCGACCGATCGCGCCGAGCGGAGGTCTTCGTGGTCGCTCCGACTCGGGGGGGCTCGCCAAGGCGTCGCCGACGCCGTGGAACATCGGTTTTCCAAACCGACGAAAGTCCCCGCTTTCTCCAACGCAAACGAAGACGCCGCTACCGGCAAGCACTGACCCGCCTGCCGCTGCCGGGGCGGTGGTGGAAGGATCGAGTGGGACACCGTCGAAACCCCCGTTCTCGCGTCGTGCGACGACGGCGGAGGCGGACATCTCTTCAGGGAGAGGGTCCACGCCTTCCCCGTTGATCGAAACCGACCCTGCCGAAGCGGGCAAGAATCCGTCAGCGGCGGAGGCGGCAGCGGAGAAGGAGAACAGCGATTTGTTCTTGTCGCAGGAACCGTTGTCGCGAAGACGAGCGGCGTCCCCGCGCACCCCGGCGTCTCGGCACACCCCGGCGGCGGGCAAGGACGAGGGGGCTCCCCTCCAGAAAAGACAAAGCGATGTCTCTTCAGTTCACGAGGATATGCGTGTTGACGACGGCTGCAAAGCAGCGGCGGCGGCGGCGGCGGCGTCGCCTCCGGCGGAGCACTCGAATCCCACGGAAGCGCGAGTCCTGACGCGTATGGATGACCACTTTCGTCTGACCCTAAACACGTTTGTGAAGTACGCTCCCGAGACCACAGTGGCCATCGTCAAGGAGTTCCTAGCGTTAGGAACGGCTCCTCCCAGCAGCCTCTGTGGCACCATCGTGTCTTCGCTGCTAGAGTCCAGGTGATAAATAGTGGGCCGAGGCTGTTCGTGTTTCCGCGGGCTTTGTCAGATTTGTTTTCTGGTTTGTTTTGCTATGTTTTTCTGTTGGTTTTGTGCGGTTTCAAAACGTTGCGGGTGTGTTCGTAGACTGGTGAAAGTCCGCATGGCGTCGGGGGAAAGCGATCGATGGAACTTGTGCCAGATGTGCGTCTTGGTGAACGCGTCACACCGGAATAAAACGAGTACGATTCACGATACACGTGCCATATGTGCATGTTCGTGAAGACAACACCCCACCCAACCCTTCCGTCAACCCCCCAGCTTCGCTTCCCTCCGGTTAACGTGTTTCCCACTTGCACACATATTTTTGCTGGGTTCTTTAAGTTTGTACCCATTTGGGGGGGGGTTGTAGTTTGCCCGTGACCACGCAAGGCGTCCGCGTCGCCGTCGTACCGATACTGATGTTAGACGGTACGGTGAGCGAGACGGGAACGGTTTTCATTGTCAAGACAACAACAGCAACAACAACAACAATAACAACAACGACATGTAGCCTATGCGATACACACCGCTCACCACCACCCGCTCCTCGGTTGGGCTGTCCGGTCTCTCCACCGCCGCTACAGGTGCAGGATCCGGAGCGAGTGCCTCCGCCTGCAGCTGCGCGCCATGCTGGACGTCGACCCGAACGTCTGGTCCCCGCCCGACAAAGACGACGCACCCGGGTGGCTGGAAAACCTCATGGGCGTTATCCTCACGGACCCCCCTGCCGTCGCGAAGCGGCGAGACCCCCCGAGCGACCAGGTGCTAGGGGCCCACGCCATCGTCCTGGAACTGGTGGTGGACTACCTGGCCGCCGCCGGCGGGGGGGGTAGCAGCAGCACGGCGGCGGCGGTGGCGGAGAGGGCGATGCATTTTTTCGCCTTGCCGGCGACGAAGGGGAGAGGGAGGCGAAAGCCGCCGCCGCCGCAGGAGGTCGCGCGGAACCTCGCGAAGCACGCGGTCGGGAAGAGCGCCGAGTGGGCGGTGGGGGCGTGGGGGTCGGAGGGAGCGGGCAGAAGCAGCAGCAGCAGCCGGCGGCGGCGGCGGCCGCAGGAGAGCCCGGAGCTCGTCCGGTTCCGTCTCCTCTCGGCTAAACTGCTGGCGGAGGTGGTGGAAAGTTGCGCCTTGCCCGCGGACGAGGCTTGCGACGCGATCGTAGACCAGATGGACTTGTTCGCCGGAGGAGTGCCTGCCGCTTCCGCTTCCGCTTCCGCCGCCGCCGCCGCCGCCGCCGCCGCCGCCGCCGCCGCCGGCGGCTGGGTCGGCGT